CTAATCATAGTTATACGATGTTCCACGCCCGTCCCATTTACATCCAAAGATAGGGTTGCTTACCAAATCAATGGTAAGACAACAATGTAAAAGGAAAATAAAATAAACAAGAAAAACATTTGAGTAGGTAGATTGCTCCTAATTACTTACTTCATTTCAAAACAAACATCCTTGCTATTTTCAAAACAAACACCTACACCTTCAAGCATCTTACAAAATTGAAAATATTTTCAAAAGATCAACATCTTTGTATATATTCTTACAAACAAGAATCATTACAAGGATTGCCTAAACAATGACTTCTTTATAAAATACTTTTAAAAACCACACAAAACACCATTTCAAACAAAAGCAAGTGATTTAGCAAGTAACTAAGAGCCCATGGATAACAATGGATGAAAAGGGTGCTAATACCTTCCCTTTTCATAATCTATCCCCGAACTCAAGAAACAATTTTAAAGGTCTTTCCTGGATAAAAGAAAAGTCGGTGGCGACTCTTGCTAACCGCAACTAGGGATGTCAATGGGGCGGGGCGGGGCTGGGGGGACACTTCCCCATCTTTTTCCCCGCCATCAAATTCATTCCCCGTCCCCGTCCCCGATCTCCGTCACGGGGGAATTTCTATCCCCATCCCCGTTCCCCGCGGATCCCCGTTCCCCGCGGGGATCCCCATAGATCCTACATTTATTCATTAATATTTTATTTTTTTAAAATGTTTATATTTTCTATAAAAATAAAAAGCACAAAGAAACATGAATATTTATTTATTTATTTTTATAAATAAACATAAAGGAAATGACTAAAAAACCTAATCTAAAATATATATATTAAATTAACTATATTAAAATAATAGGCGGGGCGGGGTCCCCGCGGGGCGGGGGGTGTATTCCCCGTCCCCGTCCCCGAAATGCTCTCGGGGGAATTTTTCTCCCCATCCCCGCCCCCACGGGGGAAAATTCCCCATCTTTGGAGCCCCGAACGGGGCGTTCCCCGCGGGGATCCCCATTAACAGGTCCAAACTGACATCCCTAACCGCAACATTTGCGATCAAACGCAAAATAACCAAGTCAGTTCTCCCACCGTATCACAGATAGTAAGAAGTATTATGATTTCTAAATAATGTATAATTATTTCTAATGATTCTAAAATAAATAGCAATGATTCCTTATTATTTCTAAAAATATAATGTTAAATATAGCTACATTTATAAAGATAACAACAATAATGATGATTCATATTATGTTAAGATTAAAAAATATTTTTAAAAACGTTTAGTGAGGTATAAAAAAGTTCATATTTAAAAGTATATGAATTAAATAATTTAAAATTATATTTTTAACAAAATATGAAAGAGTTTGTCTTTATATTTAATCTCTAGTAATAGACCCGTGTATCAGTACATGTCACTGATATTAATACATACAATAATAAGTATTTGATTTATATTTTTCGTAATATGTATTATAAGTATTAATCTTGATAATTATTTTAATGATAATATTGAATATAAATAATACAAAATAATTAATCTATTATCATAAATTTAAAAGTTAATATATTTTTATGTAGTTGATTTTTTATCTCTTACTCCGTATACATTTTGTATTTGTATCAATTACATAATAATTATAAATATTATAGTGTCACGAGTTTTAATGATATATATTCTACTATTAAGATCTCTTATACCATTCAAGAATCAATTGTGTGTGATAATGGATAAACATATTCATCTTAATAACTATCCAAAATCAACAACAAAGCATATATGTATTGTTCTGGACAGGACTCGGGCATGGTCCAATGTCAGGCACAATCCAATTTACCCCTATGTCAAGGACGACCCAAATGATGGCTCAATCCATTGGGGTCCAAGTTAAAGACGCGTTATCCACATGCCCCTCACTCGAGGACACGTCATCAACGTGTTCCACACTCTTCGGGGACAGTTAGACCCTTTGTAACGGGCGTGGTCAACCCACTATATAAATTTGTGTTAAAACAAAAATTAAATAATCATAAATAAACCTATGTTATAGGTTCTATCATCTTACAATGCTTTTGTTGTCCATCTTACAATACCTCTATTGTCCAAAATAATAATTTGTTGTCTACATTTACTTAGTTTCAAAAACTAAAAAGTAAATAATGTAGACGTCCAACATGTTATTATAGATTAGTTCTTTCCATGCCCCTGAAAATAAAAAACATGACAAAATGTTAAAAAAAATAATATGCATATTCAATTATCTAAGCAAAATAGAAAATCGATTCATCTAGGCTTTGTTTGGGAGTTTGGAGGGGATGGGAGGGGAGAACTTTGAAAAATAGAAAGAATTTGGTGAAAAGAATAGAAAGATTTTGGTTAGGAGGGTTTTGAAGAGTTTGTATTTCTTCATAACACCAAAAATCCCCTAATTTGTGGAAACTCAAAATTTGTATTGGAGGAGGACTTTGGAGGATTTTAGAGGGCTTGGACAATTTGTTCAAATATATTTTTTTGTTGTTATAGTATTTCAAAAATTAAAAATACATTAATTATAAACATTATTTTTTCATTCTAAACAAAATCTTTTTTTAAAAAAATATTTAAAAAATTTCAATATTTAAAAAAAAAATTTTTTCCAAAGTCTTTCTCTCCCCTCCTAACTCTCAAACAAAGCCCTAATGACAAAATCCATATTTTGAAACTAAAAAGGATCAAGCTTAGATACTTAAGATCTAAAATCAAATGCAGAAGAAAATATGAACATAAAAAAGTAGTAATAAATTTATAATAAAAGGTAAAACGACAAAAAGAAAAGAGTTTATATGGTTGTGACTTGAATACAAATAAGTTTTCATACCATATAAGTATGAAAAGAAGTTAACCTTCTGAAATTAGAAGCATATTTGTCATTACTAAGCAACATTCAACTCACACATATACACACATAGAAATTGAAACATATATAATAATACTTGTAATGTTATTCTATACATCCATTTGTTGATGTCACAATATCTGAACAAAGGTGTTTGTGATTTCTCTATGATAATTGCAACTTCTGTATAATACATAGATAACTAAAAATTTAATATACATTGGTATGAAATTAAAATAAATGTAGAAAACCAAATTAAACTGTGAGATGTAATTGATCACAAAATTAAATTAACTATAGTCCGATTTCGAGTCTTGGCAAGGCGTCAAGAAAATGCGTGAATGTAATAAGCAACATCAGCCTTAGTTCGAACAACTGAAGTTGCAAACATAATTTCTACAAAAAATAAATAAATAAAATTCAAATTTTCTGATTCATTAACCACAAAAATGAAAAAAATCCAAAACATAGAATTCAGATTTGAAAAACAAGAATCCCATGAATCACTCACTTCTTAGGTGTCTCTCTTTAGATGGAACCTTATAACAACATCCAAATTCTAATAATAAAAATCAATTCAAATCAAAATTGGTTCTTCCATTTATTCATTCATAAAAAAAAATTCAAAAAGAATTAAAATAAAATTGGTCCAACATAATCATTATTGACATGGGCGAGACTAGCTTTAGTAGTCTCTTTAACGGCGTCGTAAGCTATTCACTATGACTGAAGCGTACCTATTAAAGTGATGATATCTCGGAATTTTCGCTTTCTCTCTCTGCACAATTTTTGGTTGCAATTAAGAGAAAGAAAATAGAGTTTCAATTTGATCAAGTCAACAATAATTAAATTCAATTTTCGGAGACAAAAAATCTTGATCTAAATAGAAAACTCATAAAAGACATGACATACCTTTAAATTATTAATTATTAAGAATGATTTCAAAAAAGGGTTTCTAGACACATGATACTGCAAAAGGGAAGAATGAAAAAATAAAAGTTTAGGAAAAGGACAGGATTAATTTAGGGAAAGGAAGAATCGCTAGGAAAATGTTTGAGGGTCTCAATTGAGGATCAATTAGGGCCTCAATAAATTTAAATAAATTTAGTCATCGCCAATGATTTGCAAAGATAAATATGATAAAATTTGAAAAGGCTGCCAATAAAAATAAAATTGTTCAGTGTTTCCAATAAAATATTTAGCGTTTTAATGCAGTGAAAATACAAAAAATATAATTTTTTTAAATAATTAATTAAGCTAAAAACCAATAATTAATAAGTAGGAATGCAATGATTAGGAATAGAGAATTATTATTAGGATCAGGTTTATTCAAGGGTAAACGGTAATTTTAATAGTAATTTACTTTTATATATATTAAAAAGTAGACTTCTAAAGCCTCATCAATGATTAGTGTTTATATAGCTCACAACTACCCTACAAATTGTATTATTGTGGATTGAAAATATGTTAAAGTGACTTGATCCTAGTGCCCGTATATATTTAAATTTTTGTTAATTAGTTTCTAAATAATTAATTAAAGATAAATAATTTATTTTGTAAAAAAATTAATTAAAATTATTAATTAATTATGCAAAAAATATTTTTTAAATGATAAATTATCATATAAATCATTGCCATGTTATCAAAATTATTTTTTTTATTCTAATCACCAATATTACATATGCAAAATTGGACTAGAATCAAAAAAAACTTAAAGAATATAAAATTTAAAAACCTGAAAAGTTGAATTTTAAAATAAAAGAATTAGAAATCAAAAAAATATTAAAATAAAAAGACTAAAAATATATTTAAATTAAAAAAAATTAAAATCTAAGATCGGTCTTCAATTTTCATAACTTATCTAAATATAAATCACTTTATAACACTAATCAATTTTAATCAGAGTCTATTTTAGAAAATTAATTTATTAAAACTTAATGAGTTTAAAGATAGTGAATTATTAATGTAAAATTGTTTTACAAGTAAATTATCTTTAAACTTTTTTATTTAAAAAAAACAGAAAGATTTATAAAAAAAAAATGTAAATTGAGGTAACGCATGGACACAACTGACATGAAAGTTAGAAGGAAGAAGAAAGATAAGGCAATCGAGTCTAAATCAAAACAATAACTAACAATGCCGTTACTATCCGCAGTTTCCGCTCTCAACTCTTTCTCATCCACCATTACCGCCGAATCTTCCTTCCCTCCAAAACGCAACATTCCCCTCTCTCATCAAATCTTTTCCCGCAGAAATATTTCATTCCTCTCATTCCTCTCCATCTCTGCACCCGCCTCCGCCATTGACATCGGCATCTGTAAGCGCACGCACAACAACTCTTCCTCAATCTATCACTTCATGCAATAACCCTAACTTTTGAAACCTTTAGCAGGACCGAAGGATTGGCTTAAAGAGCAGAAGAAAAAATCGTCCAGGTTTCTTTTGGCTCCCGTTGATGCTTCCCGCGAAACTCTTCGCTCTGTATATCTTTCTCTCAGTAAGATTTTTTTTATAATTTTTTCTCTCTATATACATATTGTTTAATGTCTTATTAGGATTTGTTTCAATTCATTTTTGTAGCGGAAACCGATGTTACTTTTACCGATGAGGATTTGCAGAAATTTCAGCAGCTGTTCAGATCTGCTGCCAGAGATTGTATCCCGCAGGACAGGAATTCTTTCGTCGCTTTCCAAGCTAACACCGGCGTTGAGGTTCGTTTTTGCTATATAGTATATACTCTCACATAGATGCATAATTCGAATGATTTTCGCTATTTAGGGTTCGGATGACATAACTCAATATGTGGAAAGTAGAAAACGGCGTCTGTTGTTATGCATTGATTATCAAATGCTTGCTTGCAAGCTTGAAATACTCACAAGTTAATCATTATACTGATTATTGTTGTCATTATTATTGTTAAACACACGGCATTTCTTGTAACATCGTTGTTATTTGTTAGATTTAGTGGATGCCTTATCAGCTGTAGTATATATAATATTTTTTGATGCTCAGGTGTGCACATTTCGGTTGGTTGTGAAGAATGCGGCCTCCTTACTTGGAAAGAAGGATCCTGTAAAGTTAGAAGCTGAAGCTTTGCTAGATAATCTTATAAGGTATCTCACTTTACAACATTTGTGTTGTAGCTTACTACTGCATTAGTTAGTGTCAATTAGATCCTTTCTTGAATACTGAAATATTTCATTTTTTAGTCCCTATGGTTCCAAGTATCTTAACTATTTGAGAATAATTAGATTGGATAGCAAAATGATTGGATTGGATAGATTCATATGACTACGAGGATACTATATAGACTACAAAGGTTCTAGAAGATTTGTTTAGATGTGAAACTAGTTTCATCATGGCTATAAAACGGTTTGCTATGCGTAAATGAAGCTTTGGTTATTGTTTTAAGTTATTAATGTTATTCAAGGGTTTTACTTTGTTGTGGTAACTGATAGAAATATAATAAAGCAATTGATGACCATTTATCCATTGGCTTTAAGCTTTTACGAGAGTCGGACTTTGACATGTGTCAAAGCCTTTAAGACCAAGTGGCTAAGTGTTCAATCCTTGTTTTTTGTCATGAAAGGGCTCAATCCCTGTTCTTTTAAATAAAGGTAATTATATCACATGGTGGCAATGGGACTTCCTGTTGTGTAGCTTCAAGCTCAAGTGACTCTTGTTTATGAGGGCATGGTAAAATGAAATAGTGCTACCATCCATGAGACGAGCCTTATGCTAGCACCTTAAGCTCCTAGGAGGGTATAATAATGTAAAAGAAAAATAATAATAACGACAGATATAAGCAAGAATATAAATGCTTGAAATCAAATATTTATTTTAATATCAAGAAACATTTCCAATATTGGGGTCACCGCAATGATAATTAATGAGTCCGGGTTGATTATCTTTCTTTTGTTTGTATGTAATCTGTTTTTGAGTGAATTATCCTATTTAAGTTAATCTCCCCTCTCAATATATAAGAATCCTGAGTAAATCAATTTCCACTCTCATGTTAATTGTACTTAAATTGAACCCTTAAAGTTTATTGACAATTCATTGGCTCCTCAAAAGATTATAGAGTTAAACCTTGGCAGTTGATGGTAAATGCCAGAGTTTCTATTCTATATGGTAGAGTCAACTTTTTCGGCTACCTTTTTTCTTCTTTGCTTACTTCCCTTTAAATTTCTTATCTGCTAACTTTATGTATTATGATACCTATAGCATTATCCACTCACTTTTGCCTTTTTTCTCTTCCTTTTTAATATCCTTTGATGTTATGTTGTCAGTAGCATACAATAGCACTGCTATAGCGGAATAATGTTCTTGCTCACAAATAATCATTATGCTATTCTTCCTACTTTTAGCTCAGTTCTATTTTATTTTTCTTCTCTGCTTAAGTATTATTCCTCTATACTTTTTTGGTTCTTTAACTATTAAGTATGATGATCTCTTTAATTGTGTATTAGTCTATTTTTGAGTATTTATGTTTACTTTTTACACTGATTTTTAGTCTTTGCAATAGCGGCTATCCGCTATACCACTAGCATTTTAGGGGTTGATGTTATGCAACGCTATCCGAGATTAACAATATAGCCAAAGTGCATGCCGATTACCAAATTTCATGACATATGATGGTGAATGCCTGTTTCTCATATTTCTTCTTATCTGCAGATCTTTCACGTCTATCAGTGGGATGGCAAGTGAAACCAACATTGATCTTGCATCAGATAGGTAAGTCTTCAATAAAAGTCTCCGGGATAATTGAGGTGTACAATAATTTAAAAGAAATTTTTTTATGCTATCGTTTGTTTAAAAACTGAACCCATATTATTCTTTGTGTATCCCTTTATTTATCTTCAAACTTCTAGCTGCTTGTTCTTATGTGGGATGATTATGTTTATTATTTTGGTATCTCTAACTGAGACTATGAAATCAATGATTTGCCTCTGAAATCAATCTTTTTTACCCTCAGGAGAAAGATAGCAGATGCCATATCGGATACAATAACATGTCTCGACAAATTTGAGCAAGGAATTAGGGATTGTCTTGAAATCTGAGACTGTAAATAGGCTGTTCTATTTTTCAAAGTGGAAGGTTAATTCTTAAAATGTCATTTACGTACACGATTCTGATTTTATCAATTAAGTACATGTTTTACTATGTCAACTTTTCTCTGATTTCTTTTCTTTATCTTTTTTTTGTCTTACTAACAATACTGCCATAACATGAAATTTTGTATCTAAAGTCTCAAACTCAACAAATGCGCTATCAAGCATCGTCAGGATACAATTTGGACTAGTAATTAGACCTGAATCCCGTTCTTACCCTGAATTGAGCCACACGATTACCAATCTGATGATTGGCATTATTTGTGTGTGAATACTTATTCACCTGGAGAATCTTCTATTGAGAGCCCAAGTTTTTGTCGTCGTCAATGTGCTGACAACTGAGAATATCAAAATATGTTTTTGTACTGGTTAAAGTCAAGATGTCTCAATAGTTGTCTTCTTTGACTTTTGGTACATTTGATTCTCACAATAGTTTCTAGAGAAAAACATGCTCTTTTTATTCCATTTCCTAGAAATTTCTAGTTTTTTCCATGTTGGTGGTTCATCTCTACGTAAAGCTCAATTTATAATCCTTTTGAAAAATTTCTCTAACCCATTTTTTGGGTTCTTTACCGATTCGACTAAACGGAGTTTTATGTTGGTTTCTTTATGTGAGTAGAAGTGTTCTTAAACCGACTTGATTTAATATAAGTTGTATAATCAAATTGAAAACTGAAGAAAATGACAATTGAAACTTGATGTTTTTTTCTGGTACTATTATTTATCTATGATATACTTCATCGTGTAATAGATGAGTAAAATCATTTCATCAAGAAGACAAAAATAAGGTTCAAATAATTTAGGTTAACGGCTTGTCTAGCTATTTTGCCCCTCTTGTATAAATATAAATAAGCCATTTTGCCCCTCTACCATTTTTGCCAACAGTGTATCAAGTGTACGAGTGGACCAACAATAATTAGCCATTAAAATGTAGTATGTAATCTCCATTTGCTATTCTACGTATCAGGACTGAATGACCGACTCCTTATTATGCGCAGAACTTTGATCGGGTGAACCAGAAGCTTCCACTAAGTACAAGCGACAGCAAGGTGCTCCGTCCTCTGGATTGGTTTGTAATGACCTAGGCAAGCTGCGGAGCTTGTTGAAGAGATTTAACGGATCATTCAAGAGGCCAAAATGAGCATCTGGGTCTCCAATTTGTGAAAGTTTTACATGAGTGAAGCCAATAGATGGTAAAAGTTGGTCTGGCCAATCACTGTAAAATTGGAATACTGAATCAGATAGTGTGGTTGACGACTTATTCATGAAGTCTGCTATTATAACTGTATGGGTTAAGACACAATTGCTAGCTAAGATCCTCAGCAGTTGCATGGCGTTGGATTGGGCGAGGTAGTACAAGATACCTTCTAGAATCCAAACTGTGCTCTTTTGTGGCAAGAAACCTGCAATTTGAAGCTTTTCCATCCAATCGTTTTCTCTTATGTCTGCTTCTACTCTAGTTAATGATTTTGCTTTGGATATACTATGTTGCGAGTCAAATGTGGATTCCTTAGCTGCTTGCAGAATAGTGTTTTTCACCTCCAAGACTTCTGCAAAGTCAACCTCAAAGACATCACTGTCCTTTAAGCAATTCAAACGATATGCTCTTGTGTCCATTCCTGCATCAAAATTTGCAAGAATACATATTAGTTAACTCGGATGATTATAATCCTTTCAGTGCAGATCTTCAAGGTTTCATTAGCTACCTTTTGAGTACCTATGCTGATAAATTTACTTTGCTCAGCTAGCTAATCATTTAGCATTTAACAATATTGATTTTTAATAAGTGTGTGCGCACGCGCGCTTGTGTGTGTTTTGTTTATTTAAACAAAGATAAGAACATGATTAGCCTAGTGGTTACAAACCTGCACCTAGGAGAACAACCTGTGCTTCTCTGCCATTAGGGGAGTTGAGAAAATCTTCAAGTCTAGAATCAAACCAAAGCGTTCGAACTGCAAGAATCACTCCAGAAGTTTCATGGGCATTGTTGAGATGGTCTTTCATCATCTTCTCATGAAGGTTTCTCAAGTAATTCTCCCCAGCCAGTAAAGCAGCAAGTGGATCATGGATCACATGCTTCCACATAGCCCTTCCAGCAGCCGTTTGACAAGCTGACCTTTGAAGGAAATCCCATTCCTTTTCAATTGTTGCATGAACTTGTCGAACAGTCTCATTACTATGTAACAAGTCTGGAAGCTGTAGCTCTGGCCATGCTTGGTTGTGTTGCAAGCCATTTACTTGATCAGACATGATTGTGTGTTACACAAAATAAGGGATTAAGAAAGTTTGTGAAGAGGATAATACACGTCGTTTATATATATAGAGGAGTTTAAAAATTTGGAGTTGGGATAAGAAAAGAGAACCACACACAACCAATGCTTGAGAGATACTTAAATCGTATCCAACTTATTGGCCTTAATGAAAGGCTAGGCAACAATGAAGTCCACGACTACCACAAAACAATGTTCCGGTTCAGTCGATGTCTTGCCTGTCCTTTTTCTTCAAGTACAAGAAAAGTGACATTCTGTGGTTCCCATTACAAATTACTTTATGCTAGATGTGTGTTTGTGTGTACCTTCACTTGGATAACAACAACTTATATAACATATTAACAATTATTCCTTCAATTTTTTATTTTGAAAAATATAGAATTAAACGGCAAAGCTAAACAATATGTTATCAAGGGCATTTCTAAAAGGAAAATTCTCTTTATATTTAATAGTGGTGATTTTCACCACTGAAAACCCGAAAATACTCTTTGTAAGCGCACAAGTGAAGTCACCTCTCAGTTTATTTCGCATGTGCACATGTGAAACCTGTTGAGAAAAATGTTTCAGATGTTCATATGCGAAATTTCCTCTGTTTGTGTCATTTTTGTTTAAATTTACATCATTCCACTATTTTATAATCAGACAAATTTTTATGATTTTTTCGAAAGTATAAAACGAGCATACCAATATGGACGTAATGATTAAATTAGATGTTCAGACATGATTTTATACATAAATTGTTTGGAAAGTAAGTACGGTCAAAATATTACACGAACAACAAAAAACAAAACATAACATACGCTACTATGTATGCCTGATCTCGACCCCGTGTGACCTCCTCTGTCGACTGTACTGAGTCGCACTAGATACCCCACTGACCATCCTCTCGACTATGACAACCGCCTCAGGACCACCCCTCGCGATGATACCAGAACCAATGCCTTCTAGCCAAGTAGGTGTATCCGCTGATAGACCGACAAGAGATCAGTGGCATGGTCATCATTAGCCTGCTGGTTCTCCAAGAGCTCCTCATGAGCTGGCTTAGGCGGACGTCCAGGACCATCCGATGTCATGATATGGTGTGACACGTTAAAGAACCATGTCACGTAACTCTCTACACAATGGCAACTCTTAGATGTCGGCATCATCTGATATTCATGTGGAACCAAATGATTCTCCTAATTCTTGAAGATGGCATTGAGATCCCGTCAGACAATAGTGTCGGGAGTAGGTTGAAAAGGAGATCTCGGTACCAAACTTTCGGATACACCTCCCCAAAACATACCTGACCATAAGATTCGACCCACATGCTAGCCACCCAAAATATAATGAGATGGAATCGAATAGGACAACATCCCTGTAATCCTCAAATGGAGTCCATTTGATGTCATCATGATTAGTACGATCAAGATACACCTGGTAAGGAGACACTTTATGATTCCCTTTGTGGAGGACACACTTTGCAGCCTTTAGCATGTCAAGTATAAATCGGATCTGGTTTGAAATCATGAATCCGGTGGAAGTGAGAGATGATTCAGCTCTACGAAAATAATAACATAATATATAAGTACCAATTAATCAAAACAAATTAAAGTTAATAGTTGAAATGAAAGGTACCGTGAGGAGTGTGTATGAGCCAGTGAGTTGTCTCGTATTCCAATTTGAAGCTTCATTCAGCTTCTGATAGAGGTATGCTAAAATAGCAGCCCTGTTGGCTCCCAAATTCGACACTTGCTATATTTGGACTCTTTGACAAAACAATTGGAAATGAACTACACCAGGAGATGCAATTCGACGCATGAGATAAATTAAGGAAAGGATCCAAGGTATAATAAGAAAGCTTCGACCAAATGTTCATTCGACCGAGGCAGATGTAGGTTGTTTCGACTGAAGGGAAGTGTTCGCGCCTTGGCACATGGGACGAAGGCCATTTTGAAATTTGAATTATTGGAGGGAAAGGTGGTTTTTATCAGCGTCTAAAGGAAGGAAACGTGGAAAAAGGCTATGGGTCGAGAGGCATGCAGGAGACACTTGTCTTCATCCTAGCGCAGAATGTCCCCTCGACGGTTACCTATTTTTAGTATAAATTAAGAAGTTTGTATAATTTTTAGTGTGTGCAACTTATAGTACAAAGTCTCTCAAATATTATCCAAGTAACTACTGCGTGAGAAAGGATAAAAAGCAGAGCAATGTACGTTAGAAACACCTTTTTTACTTAATAAAAGTCTTTTCACTTTACTTTACCATTATCTTGCAAAGTTATCTTTTACTTCTTTTTACTTCTTTTACTTGCATTTTTATGTTTTCATTTACTGTTCAACAATCTTAAACATCTCTCCCCTGGGTCGAACGTGCGTTCTTCCTTCTCACTCATTTTACATAAAGGTTAGCATATGTTCTGGATTAGTTTGGTCGATCTCGCAAGCAAACCAAAAACTTACCTTTTTTGGAGACCAGCGGTTGTTTACCAAAAACAACGGTAAACAAATTGGAACACCTGGTGGGACGTTGCTAATTGTCTATGTTATTGTTTTTTTTTCTGTACAGTTATAACATTGCATGTTATTACGGAGTGGTAGAATAACCAATAAATATACTGTTAGGAAAGAAAGCGGAGAGAATAGTATGGCTAATGAGCCAAACCATGGAGAGATACCTCCACTGATCACAGGAACAACAGTTACTACTGTTGTCGAAGGGACTATCCCAACTTCTGTCGGATCCATGCCAGCGTTAACCATGAATCAAACTGGACCCTTACATACGTATATGGGTCCAAAAGGTCCTTCAGGAACACCCCCACCAAGGATGAACCTAGGGTCTCGATCAACTGTACCCACAGGCTTTTCGACAACCTGGATGGGTCGAGAGCAGCCATATGGCATGCCAACTACTGAAATGGCTAGCCTTATGAATGCTGCATCTACTTTCTCAGAACCTTTGGTAAATGCTACATCACCATTACAGGGAACTGGAGCCAGTAGAAACCAATTTTTAGGAGGGCCATCTCATATGATACCAAGTCTCACAAATGCTTCGACAATAATTTTGAGGTAACAGATGGACGAAAGTAACCATGAAATGGTACAGATGTTAGCACAAACTCTAAGTACAGTACTAAATCCCCTCATTCAGACTGCAACGCAGTCGAATCAATAGATGACATCGCAAATAACGCGCATGGCTGAATTCTTTGGGGTGCCTCAAGTTGCTCAACTACCCCAAGTTGTTCGACAGCCTCAGAGGGTACCTATAAGATTAAATTAAGAGGTAATCATGGAAGAAGATTTGACCATTAATCCAAACCCCCAAGTTCCAAGGATCGAAGTAGAACAACCAAGATTAGAGATACCTCGAAACCATCGAGAAATCGATCAAGGCGTTATTTTGGCAAATAGAAACCAAAATGCTGACGAATTAATACAACAAGTTCGACACCAGAACTATGGGGCGAATAATAATTTAACTGCTATGATCGAGAGAATCATGCTTCAAAACGGGATGAATGTTGGTTTCTATAGACCAAACTTTACATCCTCATTGTCAGAATATATTCTGCAAACAGACTTACCACCTAGGGGAAAAGTCCCAAAATTCACTAAATTTTCGGGGGATACGACAGAGTCGACTGTCGAACATGTGGCTAGGTATTTGATAGAGGCGGGAGAAATAGCAAACAATGAAAACCTTAGAATCAAATACTTCCCAAGTTCATTAACTAAAAATGCTTTTACTTGGTTCACTACCCTCCCAGCCAATTCTATCCACAACTGGAACCAATTAGAAAGATTGTTCCATGAACAATTTTACATGGGTCAAACCAAGATAAGTCTAAAAGAATTGGCTAGTGTAAAAAGAAGGTTCACTGAGCCAATTGATGAATATCTAAATAGATTTCGACTACTCAAAGCCAGATGCTTTACCCAAGTACCTGAGCATGAATTAGTTGAAATAACAGAAGGTGGCCTGGATTATTCGATTAGGAAAAAGTTGGATACATAATACCTAAGAGACATGGCCCAACTTGTTGATAGGTTTCGACAAGTAGAACGCCTTAAGGCTGAAAAGGCCAAAAATACTAAAACTCTTAGACGAGAAAGGGTAGTGTGATCGGTGGATCTGGAACTGACCGTTTTAAAGCTGGTTCGCGAAATGTCGCAGAAGCAAGAGTCGCCACCGTCTTTTATTTTCTCCAAATGGAAAGGACAAAAGCACAGAAAAATTCCTTAAAGAGATTGCTCTCGGTTCGGGAGGTAGGTTATAGAAAGGGAAGGTGTTAGCACCCTTTCTATCCATGGTTATCCATGGGCTCTTAGATACTTGCTCAATGTGTTTTCAAAAATGTTTGCTTGCTTTTCAATTGTGGGTTTTAAAAAGTTTCTTTGAAAAATTTCAGATCGACTCGTACGTCAGAGTGTTTGAAAAGTTTGTTTTGAAAGCCTTTTGAAAAATGTTGGTGTGAAAAGATTTTGATTTGTTTTGAAGAGAGCAAGTATCTACGAGAACCTACCTACCCTAAGGAATTCGTCTGTGTAAATGTCCTTTAAAGCAGTGCCATCCCACCATTGAGAGGTAGGTAGCACCACCGTTGGAGGTGTTCGGGTCAATTCGAGTTTTAGGGACGTGGTGATCACCAGAGCAATGGGAAGACACCTTAGAAGCTACCCTCATGCCAGGTTCCCGGATCATGAGGACTTACTGAGACGTCTTCTACTCGACGACCACCTTTCGAAAGGCAACAGTGAGGCGTACCCTAGGGGTGGTGTGTGCGGTCCGTGTGTCATGTTTCAATTATTTTGTCTTGTCATGTTTGTTGTGATCTACGCTTGATTTTAATTAGGGCCATACATTCTTTCATGCTTTTTGTTAACAGTTATATACTTGCGAGAAAATAAATCTAAGCTATTACAAATGGCGTGGGTCCATATCGCCAAAATAAACCGAACCTGATTTGACTGAAAGTAAAGAAGCAATAAAATA